TTTATTTATTTATTTGAGAGAGAGAGAGAATGAGAGACAGAGAGCACGAGAGGGAAGAGGGTCAGAGGGAGAAGCAGACCCCCTGCTGAGCAGGGAGCCCAATGCGGGACTGGATCCCGGGACTCCAGGATCATGACCTGAGCCGAAGGCAATCGCTTAACCAACTGAGCCACCCAGGCGCCCCGGAAACTTCTAACTCTCTTAATGTTAATGCCTTGCTAGAGGGAAAAACAACCTTAGCTTGATAATAGCAAGGCCTCCAGTATCTTGAGGGTCTTCTTTAGCATATGAAAGTCCTTTAAAAAAAAAAAAGATTTTATTTATTTGACATAGAGAGAGAGAGAGAGATAGTGCGCAAGAGCTCGAGTGCACAAGCAGGGGGAATGGCAGGCAGAGGGAGTGGGAGAAAAAGGCTTCCCAATGAACAGGGAGCCTGACATGGGGCTTGATCTCAGGACCCTAGGATCATGACCCATAGCCGGTCAACCAACTGAGCCACCCAGGCACCCCTATGAAAGTCCTTTTAGACACCTCCCTTTTTCCTTACCTCCCCCAATTACCAAGTATATAATCAGTCACCCCTCAAAATCCCAGGTCAGCAGCTCCTTCTGCCCTTGGGTCCTGTCCCTGTAGTTTAATAAAATCACCTTTTTGCACCACAGACGTCTCAAGAATTTTTACTTGGCCCTCAGCTGCTCCAGACTTCACCAACATTCCAAAATACATCAAAGGTGTAGGTTTGGAGATGTGTGTGTGTGATGTGCAATGAAATCAATTAATGAATTAATTATGCAATTAAAAATAAAGACTTTAGGGCGCCTGGGTGGCTCAGATGGTTAAGCGTCTGCCTTTGGCTCAGGTCATGATCCCAGGGTCCTGGGATCGAGTCCCGCATCGGGCTCCCTGCTCTTTGGGAGACTGCTTCTCCCTCTGCCTCTCTCTCTCTCTCTCTCTCTCTCTCTCTCTCTGTCTCTCATGAATAAATAAATAAAATCTTAAAAAAAAAAATAAAGACATTGAACCAACCCCATTGCACTGAGCATAGGGCCATGGAAAAGTGTTTAATCGATAGTTGCTGATTATAATCAGTACCTCCCAGAGTTGGCTTCTGGAAGCTGCTTGTTGGATTAGCCCCAGGGGAACTTTTATGATTTTTTTTTTTTTTTACTTTTATGAATTTTTTAAAAAATTGTAAATCAAGGGCGCCTGGGTGGCTCAGTTGTTGGGCGTCTGCCTTCGGCCAAGGTCATGGTCCCAGGGTCCTGGGATTGAGCCCCGCATCGGGCTCCCCGCTCTGTGGGAAGTCTGCTTCTCCCTCTCCCACTCCCACTGCTGTGTTCCCTCTCTTGCTGTGTCTCTCTCTGTCAAATAAATAAATAAGATCTTTTTAAAAAAATTGTAAATCAAAAGATATAATTGCCCTCCAAAGTTTTTTTTCTTTTTTTTTTTAATAATAAAATGCACTCCATTACCAAGGGTTTAAGAACCAGGTGAGGGCGCCTGGGTGGCTCAGTTGGTTAAGCGACTGCCTTCGGCTCAGGTCATGATCCTGGAGTCCCGGGATCGAGTCCCACATCGGGCTCCCTGCTTGGCGGGGAGTCTGCTTCTCCCTCTGACCCTCTTCCCTCTCATGCTTTCTATCTCTCATTCTCTCTCTCTCAAATAAATAACTAAAATCTTAAAAAAAAAAAAAAAAGAACCAGGTGAACTGGGCCCTGGCTCTCTCCTGAACCTCATCTCTCCCCAATTCCTTCAGCTCATAATCTTCTGTCCTTCCTCAAAGACCCCAAAGTCTTTCCTGCCTCAGGGCCTTTGCACATATGGTGGCTTTCTCCACTGGATTCCTATTCATCCTTCAGGTCTCTGTTTAAATGTTTATACTTTCCCTGACAACCCCCAACCCTCAATTACTTTCTCATCGAGCCCTGCTCTTTTCCTGTAGTAATACCATCACAATTGATAATTATCAATTTATCTGCAGGCTTGTATATCTAGTCTGTTTCCCCCATCAGACTTCCTAAGGGCAGGGTCTCTGGTTGGATGGCTCACAGCTCTGTCCCCAGTACCCACCACATCCAAGGTACACATTAAACATCTGCTCAGTGCCTGAATCCCCACTGCCTCTCCAGCACGCTCCCAGCCTACCCCAAGAGAGGGAGGCTCAGCACACAGTAGGGGCTTGACCAGAGTAGGGAGTCTTTATAAAATGGAGGAGAACTGAGACAAAGGCCATGTGTTCTATGTGGAGATGGCTGGCTCAGACCCCAGGGAGGGGGGGCAAGCCTGGGAAAGGACAGGCATTCTTGGCCTTATCCCCAGCTCTCTGTTTCCCCCACCCCATCCCAGAACTTCTAAGGCACCAGTGGAGACTGTGGGTGGGCGGCAGGTTCCAGCCTGGGGACAGGTTCCTTCCCACTTTTTCTGACTGAGGGCGAGAGTGAAGTTGGTCTGGAAGAAAATGTCAAAGTAAAAAAACAATGCAGTGATTGACTCTTGCTTGCTGCCATTTGAAAGGAATGAAAGTGGGATTAACCAAAAAAACAAAATCTAAACCAAAACCAAAACACTCTACTGTTTAGATGCTGCCTTGGAAACAATCATCTTACTGTTTTCTGTGTCATAATAAAATTAAAGGTTTACCCAAGAGCTTTGTTCTTCTGCACTTGGCCTTGTGCAGTGTACAGGGAGGCTGGTCTCTGGGTTTGCAGCTACCAAGAAGCACGGCTCCTTTCTAGTGCCCACTGCGTGTGGGGTTGGGAGGAGGGTCTCAGGTGCCTACAGGGAAGGGGTTGAACATTTAGGGGTGGGTAAAGAGCTCAGTCATCATCAACCAGTGATATTTTCTATCAGACATTGGCCATCAGATCTTGTCCCTCTCCTGTTAGAAACCCACCAGGCCTTAGAATAAAATATTAACCTCTCCCCTCCATTACTGAATAGGCAGAATAATAACCATCCAAAGATATAAAACCCTATCCCCGGAATCTGTATATTTTACTTTATAAAGAAAAAAGGATCTTTGCAGATTAAATTAAGGTTCTTTTTTTTTCTAAAGATTTTATTTATTTAGAGAGAGAGAGAGAGAAAGCAGAAGCAGCAGGAGTGGGGAGCCCAATGCTGGATTTGATCCCAGGACCCTGGGTTCATGACCTGAGCCGAAGGCAGAGGCTTAACCGTCTGAGTCACCCAGGCATCCCTAAGTTAAGGTTCTTGAGGTAGGAGGTTATCCTGGATTACCTGGGTGGGCCTTAATCCAATCACAGGTGTCTTTACGAGAGGGGCCAAGAGAGATTTGATCCATACAGAAGAGGAGGAGGCACTGTGATACTTGAGGCAGAGATTGGGGAGATTAGGTCACAGGTCAAGGACTGCCAGCAGCCACCACCAGAACTGGAAGAGAAACAGATTCTCCTCTAGAGCCTTCAGAGGAAGGCCAGCCCTGCTGACACCTTGATTTTGGCTCGCTGAAACTGATTTCAGATTTCTGACCTCTAGAACTATATGGGAATACATTTGTTTTTTGGTGTTTTTTTTTTTTAAAGATTTTATTTATTTATTTGACAGAGAGACACAGCCAGAGAGGGAACACAAACAGGGGGAGTGGGAGAGGGAGAAGCGGGCTTCCTGCGGAGCAGGGAGCGTGGAGCAGGGATCCTGATGTGGGGCTCCATCCCAGGACCCTAGGATCATGACCTGAGCCGGAGGCAGACGCTTAACGACTGAGCCACCCAGGCGCCCCTTTTTTTGTTTGTTTGTTTTTCTAAGACACCATGGTCAGTGGCAACCACAGGAAACTAAGATCATCTAAATAGCCCTATGGGACCTGGTCTGCCTACCTGTTGAATCTCGCCCCTTGCTCATGTTGCCTCAGTCCCACCAAGGATCTTTCTGTTCTTCAAACTGTCTAGCTTCCTCCAGCCCCAGGGCCTTTGCACTTAACTAAGTTCGTCCCAAGGCAGACCCTACTGATGATTCAGCTCTCTGCATAAATGTCACCTCTCCGAGAGGTCTTCTCTAACCAGTTTATCTAAAAATTGCCTCCTGGCCATCTCTGTCACATCTCTCTATTTTATTTTAGTCACAGCATTTGTCACTGAGGTGGTTTTTTCCTCCCAGTCTATCACTTATCACTCCCAGTAGAAAGTGGGATCTGAGAAGCGTTGCCTGGCTTGTACCGGCTGTTTCCCCAGGGACTGGGATACGGCCTGACATATAGTAGAGGTTCTGCAAACACTGGTTGATAAACTGTGCAAGCCTTTACGGCCTGAAGAGTGTGTGTGTGCGTGTGTGTGTCCGTGCACGTGCACGCATGTTTCAGGGTGCAGGTGGAGTAAAGAAACCGTAACTCCAGCATCATCTCCCACCTTGTGAGTGCCCCCCATGCACGCGCTCGCCACGGTGTGCCAGGAGTTTCTGTGAGGTGAGGTCCTTCATCTCTCCATATTACAGACGAGGAAACTGAGGCTCCATGATCTTCTAAGTTACGGCTTAGTATGTCCAGAAGTGAAGACCACATAAACTGAGTCACGAGCAGCCTCAGCTGCCTCAGACCCTCACCTCCCTGGTGCTCGGTAGGTCGCCCGGGACTCCTGAGGAGTCGCTGCATAGAAAAGCGGATCGCGCTGTAAGGAGAAACTTCAGAGGCGCCCTAGAGGCCTCCGGGAGAGGCCTCGGAGTACTGCAGCCGCGTTTACCTCGGGCTTGGAAGTGACCGGCTGGCAGGGGGCGGAGCAGCGGTGAAAGCCGCGGCGACGCTGAGGCAGGGTCCCCGGAGGTGGCTTTCCCTAGGAGAGAAAAGCGCGGCTCTCCAGACTGGTTGTGGAGGAGCCATCTCATTTACCGCGGCCTCAGTTTCCCCGTCTGGAAAGTGGACGCGGCCACGAACGGCTCGGGGGGGGGGAACCGGCCGGCGGCGAGTGGAGGGTTAAAGGGGCGGGTCCCGCGGGAGGGGCGGGGCCGGGGCTCGGCCGCACCTGGCGGCAAGCGGCTCTTCGCCCCGACGCCGCACGTTGCGCGGGGAGCCGCCGCGGGAGCCGGAGACCCCGGGGAGGAGCGGCTCGGCAGCCGGCACCCACCGCGGGAGGGGCGGCGGCGGCCGGAGCGACGTCGGGAGGCGAGCGGAGCCGCCATGGCCGAGTTCCCGTCGAAAGTGAGCACGCGGACCAGCAGCCCCGCGCAGGGCCCCGGCGCCTCGGTCTCCGCGCTGCGCCCGGACCTGGGCTTCGTGCGCTCCAGCCTCGGTGCGCTCATGCTGCTGCAGCTGGTGAGCGCGCGCGGGGCCGCGGGGCCGCGGGGTCGGGGTGGGGGACGGCCGGGCCGGGAGGGCTCGGGGCTGCCTCGTTTGCTCCCAGAACACCCTCACCTTAGGCTCCGCCGCACCGCGCCTATCCCCGGGGCGCCTCCAGGACATACGTCCCCGAGACCACCCTGGAGCCCTCTCACCTCGAGACGTCCCCATTGCCGTCCCTGCGAGCACCCGTGTTCGGGGTGCCCACTCTCGCACGCCCCATCATCCCCCGAGGTGGTCACTGGAGACCAGCCAAAGGAACGCTCTCAGACGCACAGTCACTGCGCACAATTCGCTCTCTCAGCCTCTCTGTCTCTCTCTGCCAGGACAATATCCCCAGCCCTCCAGGACACCCAGCCTGAGTGAAGCGAAGTCCACTCCGAGCGGCTCCGCGTGGCCGCGCCCCCGAAAGCCCCTTTTCTAAGCGAGAGGGCGCCTCCGTTCCGGCGCATACATTTAGGCGCGGCCCTCTGGGCTCCCGTGCAGGGACCGGGCTTTTCTGGCTTCCACTGGGTGCCCCACCGGGTTCCAGCCGGTTTGGCCGGCCCCGCGGCGCCGAGATACCGCACCCAGCGCAGGCGGGAGGGGTTTGTGGGAAGCCAGAGGCAAGGCTACGATGCCTCCCAGACCCTGGTGCAGAAGATCCCAGCAGAGTCGGACCGATCGGAACGCCCCTCTCCCCACACACCAGTTTCAGGCCTGGCGGTGTTCGCTTTCTTCCCACAGTACCCTCTGGTGGGTCAGGAAGCTGGATGGCTGCCCCTGTGGGAGGTTTTCCCCGGGAACTGAGGTTCCAGAAGACTTAAGGTGGAACTGGAGGTAGGCCAGGATCCATTTTCTTTTAGGGCATCTCCGCCGCCCCGCTCCTGCCTGATCCTGGCTTGACTGCCCGGCTGGAAGGCTGGGTGGTCTGAGACCCCCACCGCCCGTGAGCGCCTGCCCGCACTGGGTCAGTGGTAGCTCTGGTTTCAGGATTTCACAAATCTCTCTCTGGGGGGCCCCCCACCCCAGCCTCAGACTCTCTTGGAGGGGTTTGTTTAAAATGTAGATTCTTGATCCCCACCCCCGGAAGAAAATGTGGAATTGTTATTTGAATATCAGGAAGTGCAGCCCAGAAATGTACATTTGTAATATTATCCCAGAGTTGTTTTGGAGATTCCCGGGGTGGTTAAGAGGTCCAGTGGGGGGCCTGGTTTAAATCTGCAAGTAGGTTTGCCTCTGACCCAAGCGGTGCTGCTGTTCTGGGCTCCAGGACAGGACGGTGGGGAAGGCACCGGGGGAGTGGGAAGGGATCGTCAGGCCCTGGGCTGAAAGGGCAGAGGAGAGGGGGTGAACTTGGAGTCCAGGGCGGTTCGTGGAGGAGAGGGAGCTTTTGACTTCACTGAACTCTGGCAGAGGAAGGGAAAGGGTGTTCAGGGTTGGGAGAGTGCTGTGTGAGCCAGGGCTTGGGGATGGGCAAGTGGAAAGGAAGTTAGGGATATCAGGTGGTTGAAGCTGAGGGCGCTGAGTGCCCCGGGGAGAGATGGGGATCTTGTTCTGTTGGCTGCCTGGGGGTTTTGCAACCGCGGAAAGATCTCCGCTGGGCTCTGCGGGGGACGGTGGGGTGGAGCCTTAGGCTTAGCTCTTGGTTAATGGGACCTGAGCACTGGCTTTTGCATTTGAACAGTGAGAAGTGGAGTTGAGAGTAAGGGGGCCCTGCTGTGCCTGCTGGGACCTGGGTAGATCCCTCTGGAGGAGGCTGCTGTTTCTGATTTGGGGGTCCCTGTGGGCCCAGCAGCCCAGTCCTGAATATCTGGGTCCCACTGCACAGATACCAACCCTGGGCTCTACACAGGGTGTAGGACTTGCCAGAAGGCCTTGCTTGGCACTTAGGTCTCCAGACACTGAGGTACTGGGTGTGAGAGGAGTGGCCTTCCTTTGTCCCCCCTCCCCCTGCAGTGCTTTTGGGGCTGGGGGTGGGGGGATGAGGGTCTCCCATCAAAGGTCTGAAGACCTGTCCCTTGTAGTGCCTTAACCATCCTACCTGTGGGAGAAGCTGCTTCCTGAGCTATGTCTCTGGCCACAGGCAGTTCCAGTGGACAGCTTCTTGGGTCCATAGGGGGCTTTACCCCAACAGTCACCACCGTCTGCTGGGAAGCCATAAAAACTCTCACCAGTCAGGTGCGAACTAGGCTCCGGGTTCTTTGGCAAGGGCTTTCTATTCTCTGTTCACCCCATTTTATAGGTGAAGAAACTGAGACTCAGAGGTCAGTTCTTTGCCCAAGATCTGAGTGATAGAACTGGGATCTAAGCCCTGGGTAATCTGACTTTTCTGGCCCATGCTTTTAATTACCACACTCAGCTGTGCTCCCACAGGGCATAGGGTGTGGTGCTTTTGAGGGAGTGATGGAGTGGTCATCCCTCCCAACCCCCTAAAAGGCCAAGCACCTACTCTCCAAGGGCTCTTGGTCTGAGGGAGGTACCCAGAGGATGAGCTTTCTGCAAAGGGATCAGGGAAGGCTGCATGGAAGAGGTAGTAAATGGGAAGCTGAAAGGTAATTCTTTGTTTCCCAAAGGATTTGGTGAAGAGTTCTAGATGTGGTGGGAGGAGGGAGGTGGGGTGGGCAGAAGGCCCCAGCTTCTTGGGAAGGAGATGTGTTCTTTGTCTGGTATTAAATGTGTCCTGAAGGGAGCCTGAGTGGCTCAGTTGGTTAAGCGACTGCCTTC